TTTCGCGGTAATATCCGCTTCATCCCTCGAAGGTGAAGCTGGCGCCAACCTTGTGTGCTGCACGATCCTTCTCTGGTGCTAGGTTAGCGGTGTCAATTGCGACACCGAACGCAGCCTTGACGCCGGGTCTAAGAGGAGAAATGAAAGGAGTCATGATGAGAACCAATTGGTAGGGGCAAGACAAGGTGGGCGTAACATACCGGAGAGCTTGAGTGTATGAAAGGCAAAGGACAGATTGGTTGTTAATCTTGGCCTTGACGAACGCAGCCGAATCGAGGTAACTTGAAAACAATTCTGTCAGATGATGATATTTGACCCTTGAAAGTGTAGAAACTCACGCCTTGGCGCCAACTTCAAGAGCAATACCGCCGGTGGTGGATTTGGTGTCATAGATAGCCTTCGCACCAGCCTCGACATCCCTGCTGACACGGTGGTAGTAGCTGGCAGAGTAGGTGGTCAAATTGCCGAGACCATGGAGGGTGACAGCGTATTCCGGAGCACTGAAGCCGAGAGAGGTAGCGTAGCGAGTGATCTTTCCGGAAGTAACGTCGTATGCGGCTTCAGCACCAAGCAAGAAACCATCGCGGCCGACAACGGTGTCCGCGGTGAATGTGGGGCCCTGGGAAAATCGAAATGAATGGGGGATTAGATAGTGGATCGCGAATGGCTATGATGCCTGATGAAAGGACCAACCTTGAACAAGTCAATCACAGCCCTGGCATGGACACCAGGTTGCTTATAGGCAGCATTCACAAGGGCAGTCTTGCTACCAGTCTCAGGGACCAAGCTGGTGTTCAAGTCCAACTTGAGGCCTTTGGCGATCTGGTTATCCAACTCCACGTTGGTACGGAGGACATTGGCGGTTGTCCACACCTGGGTCAAGGTCAACCCATTCTTGGCGTCGACATACTTTCCCTCAAGGTCGGCTGCGATGGCGGAAGACTTGTTGTCGCGGACACCAGCAACCTTGAAGGTCACGTTCGAGGGAGTCTTTGTCTTAACCTCCAAAGAGGTGCCAAAGATGGGGAAGTCTTTGGTGAGCAGGTCGTTGGACGACTTGCCCAAGTCCTGCGAAGCGAGGTGGGAACAGCTTCAATTGCCGACGTCACAGGTAACAATGATTGAGCTAGTCTACAACGTTACCTTCCAATGAGGCGGCACTGGTTGAGGGATCGACATGACTGTTAGGTTGGCTGGGTGAATGTAGGAGGTAGGTTGGATAGGAGGAGGGAGGAGATGGTTTTGAAAGATCTGAATGGCGCGGAAAATTACGTCGAACGTCGCAAGTTCAAATCCAAATTCCCAAGCTCATTGACGCACGTGCAGCTGCAGTACGCAATGTCGACAACTCGACATCGTCGTGGCAGCTGTCGCCGCGCATTTATTATTATGTATTTGATTTCTAGACAACGATTTCGGATTTAATCGGCTTGCTAAGTAAAGCACGATCGCGAGATGTGACATCGACTTTTGATCCATGCGATTTCGTTGCCGCATACTCCTATGATAAAAACCACGGAAATACGCCTGGATCCGACGAGGCAAGTTCTGGCCTTACGCTGCTTCCAAAGCATCCGCCACTAGAAGCAATTACGCGACCATAGGAATATCTACTTCCACGAGAGCTAGAATACACCCAAAAGTATCTAGCTCCCATATCAAGCGGTTGAACACTGGTGCCATTGGCATGTCTTGAAAAAGCGCCAAGAAGGATCGTTCTGTAACTCAGACGCTTAATCCCACTGCCCTTCATTCTGAAATGAGTGCGGGAAGCCTTTTCGGATCCTTTTGCGACACCGAGAAAGAGCGGAAGGGAGAAATCGGGAGCAACTCCAAGGAGACAACACAGGAAAGGGTGATGGTGTCGAGAAGGAGAACCGTTTGAAACCACACTATCTCATGTCGAATGACCCATGTCCGATGATCCGGTACATAGTAAAGTGTAAAGTAGTAGGAATATATGTGCTGGAGATCACTGTCCCGTTGAATCCCGAACCTAGCGAGTACGATCTATGAGAGCAATCCGAGATCTTCCGTTGCGTTCGAGGCAGAAGTCATAATCGGTCGAGGTCGGGAACCTTTCGCCTGATTTCAGGGTCCAAATAGGACACGGCTCGGTGTTTTCGGAGGCCGGTGCCTCCCGAGAATGAAATGTTGACCGATCATTCCTCTCACCCCCAGGCTCTCTCCTCTGCCTACACCTTAGAGCCTGTCTCGTTTACTACTATTCTCGCTACGTCTCAAGAACCTCACCCTCGACTTCAGTCGATCTTTCTTTCAGCCTGAGTGGCAGAACGTACACAGCTGCCGTCTGTCTCGCTTGACGTCTTGAATGCTTCGCTTGCCCACTACTCCGCTCACTAGATCAATTGCAACTAGAATGGTATCAAAGCCTAGAACAATCTCTAGAACCGCGCCGAAGAGGAAGGAGGCTCCCCCGGGCTACGCTATCGATCCAACTGTTGGGCCGATGTTGCAGTACGAGCGATCTCTTCCTCGTCTGCCGGTGCCAACCTTGCACTCCACGGCAGCAAAATACTTGGAAACAGTAGAGCCGCTTGTTACTCCCCAGGAATTCGAAGAGACGAAGAAGGCCGTTCAGTCGTTCGTCACCTCGGACATTGCGAAAGAACTTCAGCGCAGACTACAAGAGCGAGCTGGCGAGACCGCTCGGGCTAGCTGGCTGTCAGACTGGTGGAATGATGCAGCATACATGGGCTACCGGGACCCAGTGATCGTTTTTGTTAGGTGAGGCCATACTGGGCGTTTCTCGCTCCAGGTGTAGCTAATGCATTTGCAGCTACTTTTACGTTCACTTAGATGACCCATTCCGAAGGGACCCAGTCCGGCGGTCGGCCTCCTTGATCAAGGCATTATTGTCATTCAGAGATTTGGTAGAAAGGTGAGGTGCCACGGGTATAGTTCGCGAACGAGCATCGCTAATTAGCCATCCAGCCAACAACTTGCGCCAGAAATGATCAAGTCGATGCCCCTTGCTATGTCTTCCTACAAGTGGCTCTTCAACTCTTGTCGATACCCTGCCAAACCGTCGGACACTGCAAGAAAATTCGATCCTAGCGCAAACAATCACGTCGTCTTCGTACGGAAGAACAAGTTCTTCGAAGTCCCGGTGGTAGTCGATGGTACTCCTCTAAGCACGAAGGAGCTTGAAGTGTACGTTTAACCGGGTGCCGTCTTACACAAATAGCTGACCTTAACATTTTGGGTTGGCACAGGCAAATTTCGAAAATCATGTCTCTCGCAGGATCATCCGCGGGACCGGCTGTTGGAGCCCTCACGTCCGAGAACCGAGACATATGGACGGATGCTCGCGAAGAGCTGGTCAAGGCATCCCCTATCAATGCTGCGTCCCTTGAACGGATCGAATCGGCTATTGTTGTTGTTGCCTTGGATGACACAAAACCCGTGACTAGAGAACAAGTCTCGCATGCGTGCTGGGTTGGAAACGGGCGGAACAGATTCTACGACAAACATCAAAGTAGGTTGTCTGTTCTCAGTACCGCCCCTCATCGATCGCTGATGGTCATTTCATCGCTTCCACAAGTCGTCGTCTTTGATAATGGAAAATCTGGATTCTTGGGTAAGTGAGGATGAGCGGAGCACAGAGAGATCCAGTCTAACCTCGTTATCCTTTAGGCGAGCATTCATGTATGGATGGGACACCGACTTTACGAATGACTGAGTTCATGTTGTCATCACTCCGCTTCAACAAGATCGACCATGGCTCGGATTCCGTCCGCGAAGGGCTAGCTGCCCCGAAAGAGCTGAAGTTCGAGCTGAACGGTCCCGTCAAGCAGTATATCGCAGATGCTGAGAAGCACTTCGACGAGCTGGTGGGCGCTCATGAACTTGAAGTACGTGTCATTGCCGATTCTTGCCGGCCAATCATATCCTCATTATGCTTTTTTCTAGGTCTTGCATTACGAAGGCTATGGGAAGGACTCCATCAAGAAGTATAAGGCTTCTCCAGACGCGTGGGCTCAGCTGGTAAAACAGCTTGCGTTCCACAAGATGTTCAACCGGCCTGGTGTCACCTATGAAAGCGCTCAGACGCGAAAATATCAGCTCGGCCGTACAGAGGTCATTCGAAGCGCGAGCAAAGAGAGTAAGGCGTGGGCAGAGGCAATGCTTAATCCACAGGAGACCGTGAGCCTTGCTGCTAGACCGTGCAACCTGTGTATCCCTGACCTCAAGGATTTCTTCGCAGGATGTAAACCGGGCGACGCTGTTCCGAAGAGCGGTTGCACGTCACTTGCAGTATGCCGCGTGGGCTGCGGACGGTCAAGGCGTCGATAGACACCTCTTCGGCCTGAAGAAGCTCCTCAAATCGGACGAGGCCGTTCCACAGATCTATAAAGACCCTTCGTTCAGCAAGTCAAACCATTGGGAGCTCTCGACTTCAAATTTGTCCAGCGAATACCTAGACGGATGGGGTTATGGAGAAGGTGCGCAGTAAACTCACGCCACGCCACTCAATCTTGTGATGCTGACTGTGCCATTTCCTATCCAGTTGTTCCCGACGGGTATGGTCTCTCGTACTCAATTGGGGACAAGTACATCCGATGGACAATCACGAGCTTAAACAAAAATTCTGCCGAGTTGAAGCATCATCTCGCCGAATCCGCTACAGAGGTTCGAGAAATGATGGAGCGGGCGATGAAGGAAGAGACCGCTGCCAAGGATGTGCAACCGAAGCTGTGAAGATGGTTAACTATCTATACTCGACAATATTTCATGAACAATGCGTCCTACGCGACTGATGAAAGCATGATGATACCTGTATATCATTAGCAAAAGGGCAAATTACTCGTGTCGGGAATGAAGATATATGTCGAATTCTGACTGGGCATTGGCGTAGAGGCGCATGCGTATTTTTGCCTGCCGTCCGCTTCGCCGCTAGATTGTCACCTTACCTTCTGCAGAAGCATTCGAGATATAGGTAAAAAATCGTGCCGGTTGATTATGAGGATCAAAAGCAGCGACCCAGGCAGGGGTCGAACCTGCGACATTTGGTTAACAACAGAATTATTATCGAAGACCAACATGCTAGCCACTACATCACTAGGCCGGATATAAATCTGGCTTCTAAGCTTCTTGGTCAGGCATGAGTTGCAAGAAATTACAGTTGTGCTCTGACTTGTGATACTTTAGGATAATGTTAAAACAAAACTTGATGTAGCAAATGGGGCATGAGGGGTGATCATTAACATTGTCCTTCACAAAGATGAACCCATCTATGATCTAGATGCCTCTGAGGTTAGGCTAACACACATGCTTATAAAATTAAACAAAACTAAGGCAAAGCAACTAGAGGGTCTAGAGAAAAACATACTTTCACTAGAATCTATGGAATGGAATTTCATAGTTACATTACCCAGCAATAGAAAACAGCAGACTATTCACCAAAAACAGTTACCCCTTACAGCTAGGGCTTTCCAAATACAATAAATTATTTTGATTTGCCTTATTTTAATATTATTTAGTTTTAATCAGTGCCAAATGCACATATTTTATTTTATTTGTAGTTTAATTTAATGTAATCATTACTTTGCACATTATAATCAATTAAATCTCATTAAATCTGTAGCTAGGTTAGGTATGAGACAAGTGCAGTGCTGTTTTGCCCTCCAAGCCCCTCTTTCAGCCACAGCTTCCCATACACACATATCATACCTGACTTGGCTGTCAAGGATGATCAGTTCTCTGTAAGGACATGTCAGCAGATGGAGAAGGGTCTCTCAATAGAGATGTTGATGCCAGGGATGGTGAGAATATCATGTGCAATGCATGATATGGTCAGCCTTGACACAGGTTTCAATGGGGCTTTCATGAGACATGGTGCAAGACAGAGGTGGGTTTGGAATCCCAACCCAAACTATTCATTTCCAACTTCTCCTTAAGGCCAAGATAGAGTTTAGAACTTCTGTAGTTGTTTGCTCATTGAATACAATTATATTCAGTTATCATGAAGTTTTATTTTAATGTAATTGTAATATAATCATAATTGAACCCATTGAATACAAATAAAATAGATGTGATGAGTCAACTCCTTGCTAGACTCTAGTAGGCACTACTGTGCTGAGGGCATCAACCAGGGGTACTTACTGATGGCAATGGACTGCTCTTGAGAGTGGGTAGAGAGAATGAATTGGGAGGCACTAGATTACAAACAGGTGTTTGCAATGGGGAATCCTACAGCATTCCCCTTGCTCTTTATATACTAAATTCAAAGGAATCTTCCAGAACATTCTCCCAATGCCCTCCTAAGGCTGACTGATCCCTCCACCATGCTGACTGATACTTTCAGTATGCTGACTGAGCTTAGACTTGCAAACCACTTAGTTCTCCTAAGAGAAGT